TCTTTCCATCTCTCCCAGTAGATTTCCTCACTGTTAATACAATACTCATAAACATGAATATTTTACTCACACTTGTACACTCTATCCATTGATTGTGCTGTATCCACCCCACTCCCAAGAAACATAGTGTTTATAATGTGTCATGTCTTCTACTTGCCTTGTTAATGAATTATATGCACACTAAGCAATCCCTAAGAATTGGGAAGATACAGTGATTGACCCAAAGTGCCATAGCATAGGGGTGGCAGAACCAAAGCTTTCAGACTGTCAACATAGGATACCTCTTAGTTCCTCAACACACACACACACACACACACACACACACACACACACACGAGAGAGAGAGAGAGAGAGAGAGAGAGAGAGAGAGAGAGAGAGAGGACTTTCTATTACCTCTCCAGTGAGTATGAGTCAGAATCCAGTCCTTGCCTGTTTCCCAACCCTAGACAAGAGCTACAGCCAGAGCTTTGTGGTATATTTGCCCAAACTGCATTCCTGAGCTATTCACACCCATAGATGAAGGGGTTAGCATAGGTAGCTCACCCAGATGGAGAAAACTCAGGCCTGAACACCATTCTTTAGCCACGAGGAAAAGGGAGAGATTCCTACTTTGAGTCATTGATCCTGTCTTGTTAGCAGAGCTTGGCTTGGGACAACATAGCTACATGGTTACTGGGAATCTTCAGTTATGATCTGATCTGGCCACCATGGTGTGTGGCAGATTTCTGTGGCAAGTCACCTGGAAGAGAAGCTGAGTAGGGATTCAGAGACTGGAAATCAGGCTCATGGCTTTTACTATATCAGACTGTGTTTTTTGTCCCTAAACCTAGATTTTTTTTCTTTTGCAGTAAGATGAGTCTGACTCCTCTTCTTGTTCTTTAGGGGTCTAGGGTGGCACTGAGAGATGCTGGTAAACACAGATGAATGTCCCTGGCCTCGTGCCAGCTAGTGACTCACGCCTTCGCATCTTAGTTTCCTCTAAGGTATAAGCTGGGGCTAATAAGAATAGCTGCCTTATTAGGGTTGCTGGGAAGCGGTGAATGAGATAATGCAGGTTGAGATTAGCTCAGGCTCAGTTCACCTTCAGAGACAAAGATCTCAGAGCTGGTTTGTAGAGGAGCTGACTTTTTGATTCCTCATCAGAACATTGTACAAACTTTATGCAGGCCTCTGTCTCTTACTTGGAGCCTACAAGTAAATTCTAAACTTCCATCACGGTCTTATTAATACACCTGTATTTAAAGAACACAGTGAAACTCAAGATTCCTATTTGGAGACCAAGTCTTCCAGACTTTGATCATATTCTAATTATATTTTTCACTGTTTAATTTCAGATATGTCTCTCTTTTTTGTTTTTTCTTATTTTTATTTAACTTTTAAAAAATTTACATAATAGCCCCTGTTCCTTCTTCCTCTCTTTCTTCTTTCCCCACCACCTACTGCCATACCTCCCCTGCTTCACTTCTCAGAAGAGGTAAGGCCTCCCTTGGAGAGTCAACAAAGTCTGGTATACTAAGTGGAACAAGAGCAAGCCCCCACCCCCTGTAATAAGGCTAAGCAATGTGTCCCACCATGACCTTGGTAGGACAGAGCATAGAGATCTCATCCAAACACAGCCAAAGCAGTGTGAGAATCAGCTGGTGCTGGAGCTCTGCCTGCAACTTTGGAGACTTGGAGACACTAAGAGAACTGAAGAGGGTAGGGAAGGAAATAGGAAAGGCAGAGTTTGTTGGGGAAAGTGTTTTCCAAGTTCCTAGGAAGGAGGTATGAGCAACTCAGTGGGAGAGGGTTTACCTAGCATATATAAGACCCCAGACTTAACACCACACACACACCATGATATCAAACATTTTTTTTTTTTTTGTTTTGGACAGGGTTCTGCTTTCTTATTTTTCCCATACAGAGAAATATTTTCAGCCATATTGGTTGTTAAATCATAAATATCAACGTGTATTATATAAATTGGGAAACTGCAGTTTTAAAAAGGAAGGGGTCTGTGCAAAGTTATCAGAAAGTGTGTCTATGACCGGGGCCTCCACGACCTGTGCTACGCTCCGTCTGTTGTACATCCACGTGTGGATGAGTCACTTGGGGCCATCACTCAGCCAAAATTCAGTTCAACAGTTGCCCCGCCTCCTTCCCAGACCGAGCAGACCCCAAGTGAGAACAATTCTGTGCAAGAAGACTGAAATGTAATGTTGTGTGCTCTCCTAAGATCAAAGAGAAAGGTGAGGAGGTCTTGAGCTAAGACATGTGACAGAGCAGTTAAGACGCAGGAATCTGAACGGACAAAGGCTACAATGTAAAAATCCTACTAAAAAATTGTAGTGTTTGAAAAACTCTAAGGGGCTCCAGCCCCGAAGATGAAGGAGAAAAGAGGCATATGAAGGCTGAGAATCATACAGTGCTCAGATGGTGTTGTGCCCTGGACTACAGCAGAGAGTTTGAATTTTCTTCCAAAAAACAGAATTTGTTAAATGCTTATCTGTGCAGTATGTGAAGTTGCTCTGGTGGGAAAGAATTACACAGAGAATCTAAAGAAGACATTAGTGCTAACTGGGATGTTTTAAAGGCAGATGAGCACGGCCAAAAGAGGGGGCAGGAGCTCTGGAGGAGGGAAGGGACAAGAGGCTGACAAGATGGTGGATATGTGAGAGAAAAGCCTGACTTAGCATATATTATTCCTCACTGAGCAAACCCTATAGACTGGGCCCTGTTTTACAGATTCTGTGTGTTTTCTCTTGCACGGACCTTACAGTCATATGTAGCATTGTTGCTGTTCTAATCTCTGTTTTATACATGGTGAAACTATGGACCATGACAGAGAGGTAATTTCTTCAAAGCACACAGTGAGCCTGAATCAAGGAGGTGCGGTCCAGGCCTTTGGGCTAGCAGCATGGGACTCTCCACATCTAGTTGGCTACTGGAATTTGTCTTCGATCTAGGCTCGGTCTCTGTGTGTCTTTTACAGTTCTAACATGTGTGTTCCTCCTGAAGATGAAGAATCTATGGGAAATAAGTCTAGGAAAGAATACAGTAGATTCTAGAGAGAATGTTTAAATTTTTTTCTCCACAAACAAGTCCTCAGAGCAGAGCAGCCTTCCTCATGCTGTGGCCCTTAAATACAGTTTCTGGTGTTGTGGTGACCTCCAACCGTAAAATTATTTTTGTTGTCACTTCATGACAGTAATTTCGCTACTGTCATGAATCGTAATGTAAGTATCTGATATGTAGGATATCTAATACACGACCTCTATAAAAGGGTCAGTCAACCTCCAAAAAAGGTTGTGACTGACAGGTTGAGAACCACTGCCTTAGCAGCTAGGCTGTAAATGCCCTGAAGAAGGAAGAGTGGGTGTAATTTGAGAGGCAGGTGCTCGAAAGAGAGAAGACTGAAGCTGACTAGCATGGCACCAAGTAAAGTATCTTTTAATTGAAAGGTGAAGCAAAGAGCTGTTTTAGGCATAGGGGGTAGGGTATGGCAGGGGAAACAAAGAGCATCTCACTATTTCTGTGGCTCAGGCTCTAAGAAAACTATAATGAACAAGACTGACCCTATCTCTAGTTCAGTATCAAAGAATTGGTGGGAGGGAGCCATATCAGTGTGTCTGCAATCTGTGTCCATGAATATATGTCTGTATGATTGATCACTTAGTTTATGAAACCTTTACTAGGTATTTTTCATGAGCTATTTTATTTATCCTTCATCACAGTGTCAGGAAACATAAAGATGTACTTCTATTGTTCCTACATAATGAATGAGTTTGCTAAGACTCCAGATCTTGTCACATGTTCAAGGTCATGCCGGAAATAAGTGACAGAGAGGGAACAAGATTAACACTTCAGTTTGAATTATTGCAAAAATTTCAGGATTGAGAAAGATGGTTAGTATGGAGGCTAAGAGAGGAGAGAGGGGAGGGGAGAGAGAGAATTAGTCTACAAATATATACGAACAAGGAAGACAAAGATGCTTTCAGAGACAAAGTGAGCACTTGGAGACCCTGCCTAGGCAGGAGGCGAATGAGGTCATTAAACCCATCCGCGCAGATGGGGGACCCTGGGGAAAGTTACAAACAAATGTCATGATGCAATACGGTGAAATCGGCTTACGTTAGTTCAGGCTGGGACTCAGCAGGGATTACACTGCAATCTTTGGGAAGACGGATCATCTGCCGGATGGGGAAGACACTTGCTCTGTTGGGCTTTTCCTACCACTTTCTAGAAAGGCCAGCCAGCCAAGGTCACAGAGCACATGACAGGGTGGACTGGGAATGGAACTTTGGCCTCTCGTTTTTTCTTATGCTAAATTCTGTTTCCAAGAAAGGTTCTCACAAAAAATTTAATTCAAAACTTTTGTGTAAAATGCTTCTTACTTGGGACTCCAGGCTCCGTTAGAGGTCATATAAGCTTGTTTCATACATTCTTTTGATTTTATTTTTGCCTCTCCAAATCAAAAATACAGTATGTCAGAGAGCTATGTTCATTGAAAAGATATGTTCACATCTTTTATTTTAATTTATTGATCACAACAGTTTTCTTTGTTAGCTTTCTTCTCCACTGTAGAACTGTATTAGCACTCATAACGATATCTACCCATGCCACTCAGCCCCTATAACTTACTCAGTTATTTCCGAGGCACAGAGAGAAGTAGCTTGTTTTACTTTAAGTAGCAGATCACTTACTTTCAGCAAAGAGTGTCCCTTTGCTGGTTTCAATTTCATCATTGATAAAAGGGCAGCTGGTGGAGAGCTGTAAAGGGGAATCAGAATTTCTTCTATGAAAAGAGCATTTCCTTCTCTATAGCAGTTGTCTCTCCAAATGCAACCTGCTGTGAAAGTGACCCTGGGACAGCAGAAAAGGTTATCATAGTGTCACAAAGGTAGAACCGTGACGTGACCTTAAGTCTCTGTTTCAAATCTCTGATTGTCTTCTTGCTCTTTACCACCACACTGAAAGCTAAACCAAACCATCTGATTTATCCCGGTGTTTTCTCTCTTCAGGTCACTCCCTTTCCTATGTCCTGTGACCTACAAGATGACTGTGCCTGTCGGGACCCTGAAGCCCAAGAACACAGCCGGAAAGACCTTCGGGGATACAGTCATGGCTAAACAAAGGAATTGTCCAAGATTTCCCAACGCCAGGACCCGCATCCCTCTGGTATTGATTTCACAGTCTGCTGCTCAATGAAATGGCCTCTCCACACCAGGGATCCTTAGCACCCAACCGGTCTGCCTTTAATTTCACCCAGGAAGAACCAACTGTGGGGCAATGAACTGAATCTCACCATGTTGAATGATAGAATGGCATACTATCCCACAGTCTAAGATGGATTACGTACACAGCATGTAGTCCCAGAGCCTCTGAAAATTCTAACCATTTGTCACATGACCACAGCCCAAAGCAACAACAACAAAATCATGTTTTCTATCAAGGAGTATGCACATCTGTGGTTAGTGCACATGCATGCATACACACCCAAACAAACATCTGTGTGAGGGCAGTTTTAGAAAATAAGCAGAAAACAACTGGAAAAACAAAACAACAACAAAAGCGCATCTCACTCTTGCCTTTCCCAGGCTTCCAGCCAACACTGTCCTTGGGAGAAAGAGACTTATAGAAACTACAACAAGGACTGAAAAGCAAATATAACTCAGAATCCAAGTCACAGAAAATGTAGTGCATACATCATTATGTAGGTTTTGAGACCAGAAGTGAATGGTTTGTGACTATGAATCTTCTAGGGAACTAGGGACCAAGAGTAAGTAAATATTCCAATGGGTGCAAAGCTCCCCATTTTATTCTGCTGCCATGGGAATTTTGCCCCAACACCAGGGTGTAAGGCTGAGCTGGAAATGGCTTAGGACTGCAGAGTCCTGTATTCTATCAGCTCCCTGCTTGAGACTTGAGGTCTTCAAATGCCTTCCAGATCCACCCGTTCTCCAGATCTCCCCCTTCGGACCACACCTGCTGCTATTCCTGCTGCTCTGCCCATACACTGAGTGCTCTTTGGTGGTAGAAACTAGCTTAGGACAGACTCCGTATAGTCAACTAGACTGCCTTAAAAGTGATTCATATTATTTCAGAGTTCCTCACTTCTTGGCCCATCTTCAAGAAAAAAAACTTTAACAGGCTTAAGTCCTCCTTGAGTGGACTTCTTATTCTGGAAAAGACTTGAGAGATATCAGATGCTCAAGCCCTTCCTGAGAATATCTGAACCAGTGTTAGATTTTCTAATCAAGTGGAACAGTGTTAAGCCTGGGGATGCTGGGGCCACCAGAGGCTGTTGGAATGCTCATGATTTGGATTACTATCCTTCTTTAAGTTTTCCCAGCTCCCTAGGCTGGAGCAAGCTTTGGTCTTCAGACTCCCACTATTACTCTAAGCAGATGCAGTTCTAAAATGTCTTGGATATGAACAACGTAGGTGGTATTCTAGAGGAGGAGAGGAACATTAAGAAGTTCTGGAGATCCAGACTCAGCACCCAGCACAGTCACCATACTTTCCTAGATGCTAGGGCATCTGTCCACATTCACTGTTGATCTCCACTCCTTCTCCTCCTCCCATATTTAGTTTTCAAACATTAAGAGGAAATGAGTCAACCGTACATGGAAGCTAACAATGTATGCAGGGCCTCTGTTTTTCCGGTTACCTATACACATCCCCTAAATTAATATGGGAAGAGATTAACACAGGTTGAGGTGTATAGAGTAGTTAAATTTGATATAATTTGTGAAACATGCAGCTGGGAAGCAAGGAGATGGCAAGATCTAAATGAACTGTATAACTTAAAGATGACAGGATATCAGTTGATCTCAGGTTTAGTGGGAATAACTAGTACAAGCAAAGTCTGGAACAGAATGCAATTGTCAGCCCACGTGCAGCCACCCTGCATCTAAGGGTTCCATTGGTAATCTATCATGCTCCCCTTTCTACTAGGACCAACAGCAACTCCACAAACTGTGTTTTCATATTCTGACCAATAGCTTTTTCCTACTGACCAAGAATATTTGAAAAGCTATTTATTGACCATCAGTGGTTTGTAATATCAAGAAATGTATCAAGGTGCTTTTCCCACAGGTGCCCACAAATAAGGATGCAGTGCTTAGACTGTGCAGCTTGTCCTGTATGAAGCTTGTCCTCTGCAGTTGAAGTCTAGAATGGAGAGGTGGCCACTGATGTAATGGCCAAGTACTTTGGATCCTCCAAGAGCATATCACATATATACATAGAGCACTCCCCACTCTAATTACTAGGACCAATCCTTAACAAAATATGAGAACAATTAACTCTCCAGGATCCTGAACCTTTTGCCAACCCTTCAGGCCCCTCTCTTGACTAGATATGTTGTGTCAGCTTAGAACAAGCTAAAGAGTAGTACAGGACCAGCCCATCCAACAATTATGCCCATAGTAGTACTGAAACCACCTAAGACCCAAAGATGACATTATTAATAGTAGAGTCATGGAAACTGAAGAAAGAGCATAAGAATGTCTGTCAATCACTCCTCATCCAAGTCTCTCTTCCCTCCCACTGTCATCTGTCCCTACTCTCCAGCCAATTTCTGGAGGCTGGCTCCTCTTTGAAGATTCATACAGTGAAGTGGGCCTTTCCAGGCAAAATCCCATCCTGTTTTCTCCTTGCTGTCAATCAAACCTGCTAGGAGCAAATTCATATTTGCTGAGCCTATTAGATAAAAGAAGCTACACAACTGGTAGCCTGTCTCATGCCCACAAGGGATGTGTAATTCAGAGGATCTTCTCTTAGTGCAGGACAGTCAGCTGTATTTGTGCAATGCACTGATTCTCAGTTTCATTTTCTTCCTGAGAATAAACTCCCTGTCACATCCCCTCAATCATCTGCTCCAGACAATGGGGTAATCAGGAGGAGGCGGGTCTGCAACACTGTTGGACAGCCACAGCTTCGGGCCCCTAAAGCACAGTTCTGCAGCTGAAGAAGTATCAGGCTGTTAGCAGCAAGGAAGCAAAGACGAGGTGGACAGTTCTCTAGGCCCCATCTGCGAAATTGTTCCAAACCGCAACTCACTGTCTGCCCAGAGGACTTGCAATACCCCTAGATTTTGTGCCAACAACCTCGTATGGGAAGTCAGTGTGGGAAGGCAGTCAGTCCTGGGGAAGTCAGTGTGGGTAGGTGAAGAGGGGTGTAAAGCAGAGGAGAGATTAATAGTCTTAAATAGCAGGCTTTTGGAAAGGGAGGAAATCAGCTGCCGCACTTGGCCTCAGCACACTGGGCCACTGCCGAGACCATTCTCTGTCTCATTCCCACTTTGGCCAATGCTTAAATGCTATTTGTTGAAAATAATTCTTTGGGACAGATTTCAGCTACCTCCCTTCCAGGTTCGATTTAACTTGGCTTTAACTGTCAGTTTGTTAAAGGTCTTACCTGTGTGATTGTTTTTAAAGAAATAAGTAGAAAAAGAAATGAAAGAAAAGGGAAGAGCAGAAGAGGAGGAAAACTATAGTCCTGTTAAGTGTGTGTGTGTGTGTGTGTCTGTGTGTGTGTGTGTGTGTGTGTTCTGGAACTAGTTCAAGTGAGAAATAAATTGATGGTGACAAAGTTGTAAGGATAGAAATTAATAGAAGACAATATGATTGCACAGAACTAAAGTGTATCATCAAAACCTAAGAATATGAATCGTATTTTTATTCTTCCTCGAGGAAACTGTTTATTCTACAAAGTATGTAGAGATGACACAGAGATTTCTCCAGAAGATGAAGATGGGATTTTATGGCACTGTCTGCTGTTTTCTATACACTGTGGTAGATCCAGGAAGTAAGGCATTTTCTCCCTTGAATTACTTTTAGTGGGACATTGTTTTTTTTTTTTTTTTTTTTTTTGACTGTCTATGGCAGAGGGGTCTGGGGGGAGTTAATACCGGTTTTACCAAATGTTAAGGAGATAAACTATGTCTTTGTCCTTGTCACACTATAAGTTATTTATATTTGCCAGTCTGGCCCTGAATTTCCTGAAGATCACACTCAGAACCATCCTCCATAGCCCAGTTCCTAAGAAGCTGCTACATGACCAGACAGGTGATCCCAATGAATTTTGAGGAAGAAAACAAAGTAAAGAACTAAATACAAAATGAATTTTATAAAATCCTCTTTTTGTAATTTATTCAAGTTTTGCCAAATTTCTAGCTGTTATTTCCTTTGTAAGAGTAATGTAATAGCAATGAAGGTAGAGGTTTATGTGTCTGCACAAAGGTCCAGAATGTTTGACTCCAGGCATTAGTCAGTTCACTCAGTGATCTTGAACACGTCATCAGATTGCCTCCACATTTGCCTCAGTTTCTCTAGCTGAAATATGGGGATACTACTACTTACCTACCTCACAGTGGGAGGATAGAGGATCATGAGTCCTTGAGGCTTTTACATGGACTGTGTAATCTCTTGTAGATACCACCTGGTGCAAAGTCCCGAGGTTGTTGTTCAAGAATTCATAGGTCTATTGCCCTTTTCAGACCTAGGGAGCGCTTGACTGACATTTCAAGGCATAAACCCAGAATGCCTGGATTACAGTTCACCTTAAGAGAGTGCACAAGGGACTTTTTCTCTGTAGATAACTGCAAGTTTCTCCTCCCTTGTTCTGGCCTTTACCAATTCAACAATTTGACCAAAATCCAGTGACTTCCTACAGTGTAAAAGTCAGGCTCCTGCCATCTGGTTAAGATTTGGAGGGGGCATTAATAATTTGCAGAGTAAGAGGGTCTGACATCTTTCCTCCAGAAGATTCCTCCCTTCCTACACTTAGTTTCCACATCATGTGCTTCAGTAATAAGAGCGATAACATTCTGAGTATAAGTTGGGCTTCTTAAACTTCACACCAGCAGTCAGTGAGAGGAGAACTATGAACAATTATTGAGTTACTGTCTTGGGTCTCTATAACCAATAACCTGTCTGCAGATTCCTATCTATATAAAGATATTATATATAAATAAAAATTTACATATATATGCACATGTATATATAGTTGTACATATATGTGTGTATATATATACTTAAATGTAATATTTACAAAACTGTGATCTCATCTAGAGAAAATGTACTCATATTACAAACTGCTCTTCCATATTTATGTATCATATTATACCTTTTTATTATTATCATAATTATTGAGGTTTTTTTCTAATTATTATGATCTTAGAATCTGTTTGGCACCTTCTGGAATACAACCAAAAAATATGACTCTTCATTGAAGTGCTTAGAATCTGTTCTCATGAGAATTCTACTGCTCTACTGTAAAAAACAAAAACAAACAAACAAAAAAAAAAAAAACAAAAAAAGCCACAAAAAAACAAAAAAAAGAAAGAAAAAGGAAGAGAGAGAGAGAGAGAGTTAAAAGAAAGATAAAAGCAAAGTAAACACCAAAAACTAAATACAACTCTAACCTTCTTCCTGTACCTCACGCGCAGAACGTGCTGCTCTTGGGTTGGGTTTTTATTTTTCCTGTTGATGTGTTTTTATGGATCTAAGTTAAGCTTTCAGCAATATATAAAAATGTAAATAGTTAACTTTATTTATTAAGAATGTCATCTTTTTTAATTTATATTTACACAATGGTTCATCTAATTTATTTTTTCTATATGGTTTTAAATACTCAGACATATTTTGCTGTTCATGGTATTTTTTATCCTCTTCTCATGGATTTATGTTTTCATATTGTTCTTTCTGGTCTCAGTTACAGTTTGGATCTGACACACATACACAAAAATAATGTCAAAGACAAATATTTTGCCACTGTTGATTACTATACCTTAAAGTTCTATATTATGAAAATATATAATAGCTTGTCTGTTTAAACATATTGTTGTGTGTTTTTTGTCTACTGTAGAGTCTTATAGAATGGACATGTGTGCATGTGTGTGCGCGCACACACACATACACACAATAACATGAAAGAGAATATGTGAGTATATAACTTAGAAAAATCAATGAAAAACATTAAATTGAATTTGATGTGTACCAAATCTTCTACATAATTCCTAAAGGATATTTATATTTTGTACATGCACAACCTAGCCAACATTATTATTCACTGTAAGACATTTCCACTTTGTGGCCCTGAAGCATACACCACTTGTCACTATATATTGCTCTTTGAACTCTGTCTTCAACAATAACCTCTGAGATTATTCTTTATTTTCATTAAAAAGAACCAGCGAAACAAAAACAAAACAGATCACATCCTGTCTTTTGGTTATAACATGGTTGTTGCACTCTTGAGCTCACTACAGATGTTGGTACTACATAAACCTGTGAGGAACTGGGGGGTCCTTCAACATTCCATCATGTATTAGGGATTGGGACAGGGCTCTGGTTGTGATGCCTCTCTCTATGGTGTCACTGCCACTTCATGGTTGCAGGTGAAGAGAAGTGTTATTTTCTTCAATGTTTCAGCAGTTGGCAAGGTGCCCATGTTCCAGTAAAAAACCCTCTACCCAAGCTCATACAAGCAAACCTATTTAAACAAGTGTCAGACCAAAAACCAATAAAGTGAGAAGACTACCTTGGAAAAGGGATGTCTGCAGAGGTGGAAGGGGAACGAGACGATGAGGGGTGAATTTGATTAGAATACAATGTATATGTACTAAATTTTCAAAATGAATTTGTGTTAAAATAATAAATAAAACAATGAACACTTAGTCATCCAGTCCATTCATGTACCCGATAGCTGAGATGGAAATATTGCTGCTTTCTCTCTATGTAGAACATTTTTACTGTTCTCCAGTCACCAGTTAGTAGGTAACTAGGCAGTTTTTGGAAAATTATTAAATTGTTTTAAGGTTTTGTCTTCCTATCTGTGAAATGAAAATAAAATATCAACATCATAAGGTTCCTTTTTTGTTTGCTGTTTTGTTTTTCAAGACAGGGCTTTTCTGTGTAGCCCTGGCTATCCTAAAACTCACTCTGTAGACCAGGCTGGCCTCTTACTCATGGAGATCTGGAGAGCCCCCTGCCATGATTTATTAAGTGCTGGGATTAAGGGTATGAATCACAATTAACAAAAGTTCAAAGACTGATACTGTGGTTCAACCTAAAGACCCAAAAAGCAAAACAACCCATCACTGGCTCTTACCTCGACCTCAGTCAAAAATGGTGATCCTGCCTCCAGGAATTTCAGAATGAGACTATGTTTGAGAGCTGTTTCTTCCTGTTTTATAATCCTCTCTAGGGATGGTATTATAGGCTTGTACCATTGTGATTAAAGGCATGCACCGTCTGGTTTCTATGGCAACAAATGTGGCTACTGGGATTAAAGGTGTGTGTCATTGCTGACAGGTCGGTAAGGCTGGCCAGTGTGGCTGGTTTACTTTTCCAATCCCCAGGCAAGCTTTACTTATTAAAACACAAGTGAAATGTCACACAAAGGTGTGTGCCACCACTGCCCGGCCCCTTCATAAGGTTCTTAATTGTATATCTTTTTAAAGATAAGTTTTCAGTGATTTAGAAAATTCCTGCTACAGGTTGCATTGGCTCTCTTCATATTGAGATCAAAGGTGCTATGGTAAGCATTAATAACATACCAATTTTATTGTTGAATTTATTTTTAAAATGAATAAGAACAATTTACCCTAGCATGATTCTTTCATAGGTATTTTATAACAGTGGCACTGCCCACTAAGCTGTTGGCTGGCTGTCCCACCAGAAGGCATCTCAAAATACTTGTCTGTGTGCTGATGTATAAAGACATGAGTTTTGTACAAAAAACATTTGGGGGACATCAGTAAGAGTTATACGTAAAATCAAGACAAGGGAAGTCAGGACAAGCTATAAAAGCACAGTATACTGAGAGTCAGAAGGGAAGTCACTAGCCAAGCAACAAAAATCATTGCTAAATACTCCTCTACCCCATAGCTAGGTTTTAGTTGTTTGCCTGTTTTTGAGACAGGGCTTCTCTGTCTAGCTCTAGCTGTCCTGAGACTTGCTCTATAGACTAGGTTGGTCTTGATACAGAGATCTGACAGCCTCTGTTGGGATTAAAGGTGTGTGACACCACTCCTGGCTCCATAATGAGTTGTTAGTGATAAGACTCATGTGCAGTTAAATGCAGCTAACTATGAACATAAAAAGAATTTTATAAAATTTCCATGACTAACAAGCTGAGTGGCAGCAATCAGAACTTAGGATAAAAGCACTGCTTTTCTATTATTCTTTTGTTTTGTTTGTTTTGTTTTGTGTTTATTGGTTTTTCGAGACAGAGTTTCTCCATAGTTTTGGAACCTGTCTCCGAACTCTGGTTTTGTAGACCAGGCTGACCTAGAATTCACAGAGATCCTCTTGCCTCTGCCTCTTGTGTGCTGGGATTAAAGGTATGCGCCAATGATATTCATCACAGGGGTCTGTCATCCTCTGAGTAAAGTTTTCAGCACTAAAGGAACAAGGCTTGAGTTGAAAGAAAGTGCTGCTGTGGAGGAAAGGAAGTTGAGGTACAATCTGTCTGTGCCTTTGCGAAGACAGAAGGAGCTGGTAACGAGAAAGTGTAGGTGCTGGATGAAACGACGAGACCATCATTGCATCGATCAACCTAAGAAAGATTTCAACAATAAAGCACGGTGCTCTACTTGAAAAGGACTCAGGTATTCAATATTCGACAGGGAGCTAGGGTAATGGTGGCAAGAGTGGGGAACACAGCAGCTATGAACTGTGAGGAAGTCCCCGTAAGTGGCAGTGGAAAAGCAAAAATTAGAAGGACTGAGAGAAGATACACATGAATACCTGAGGAAACACTAGGTAGTCCCGGAAAAGCAGTGATCACTGCTCATGTGAAAATGTCACAGGACGGCTGTTTTTTATTGTTGTTGTTGTTTTGTTTGTTTGTTTGTTTTCAAGAAAAGGTTTCTCTGTAGCTTTTGGTGCCTGTTCTGGAACTAGTTCTTGTAGACCAGGCTGGCCTCAAACTCACAGAGATCCAACTGCTTCTGCCTGCCAAGTGCTGGGATTAAAGGCATGCACCACCACAGCCTGACTCAATGTCACAGGACTTTAAAAAAAACTTTTCTTTCCTGTTCAATGACTTAATTAGATAAAGTTATCATTCAGGAAAATAAAGTGAGATCAGGTGATCAGGATTTGGAAAACCTTCTGGGCATATGACTCAGAACAGAACGTTGGGCACCGATGGAAGTCTGGGTTTGATCTCTCCATTGCATGAAACAGGCACAATGGTACATGCCTATTATTCAAATGTGTGGAAGGCAGATGGCTGAGGATGAGAAGTTCATCCTTATTCCCAGATGCATAGTGAATTTTAGGCCAGATTGAAACATATCCAAAACAAAATAAATAACAAAAGAAACAGAGTTAATACTCTAACAAAGGAAGTACGGTGATGACGTCTCCACAGTAGGAGAGCACTGGGGAAGGTCTCCGAAGGCATCTGGGATCACAACTGTAAGAACACTGTGGTATCCTGAGAAATACTCTGCTTCTTAGCTCTTTTCAGATTTCCCATCCAAACTGGGATGAGCTAGGGAAACCATGGACAGTTTAAGGGAAGCCTAGCAAGTACTGCGGGTACTTAGAAAATGCTGCTCACCGCTCCTTTATCCTCTCCATTTCTCCACTCACATCCCTGACTCATAGCAGAAAAGGAGGCAGGCAGGTGAGGTGTCTGGCACTCATCCCAGCTCCCTAGTGTTTACATGGGGAAGACTTGCATCACTTTCATGTCACCAAGACAGACGCTCTGCAAGCCATGAAGCTTGTGTTCATCTCTGAAACAAGACAAACCTTGGCTGCAACACCAAGCTATTGCATGGGTCTGGAATGAACAGAAATTTAAAAAATTAAAATCAGCATGATCCCATAGTTCCTGGAATATGCTTCAAATGTGTGACAAGAAGAGCAAGCATGGAGAAAGCATACATTTCTTTAATATGAGGAAGTGGATCAGTATTTTCTTTTAATTCTAATGAAACACTGCGATTATAGGAATCACAAGACTCAGTCATGCTGATTAGAGAAACCAAGGCTCAGAGTTATATTGATTCAATTTTAAAATAATGAATGGCCCCAAATCAAACCCTAACCTTGAGATATATACAGCATAGACCAGACCTTTTCTTGTCACATTTTGTGTCTATTTAAAGCAAAAGCCTAAGTTAATAATATTCAAGTACCCTAAGGACGAAAGCTACTGAAGCTAAGTAGAAAAAGTTGATAGATAGCCATCGTTACAGGGTTGTGAAGGGTTCACCTGAATCTTCTGGGTTTCACCATCTAACTTTAGAGATTAGCACCCAGCCACCAGACACACAGTGTGGTTGTGTATGTGGGAGACTTTTTAACTAGAAGTTAACCCAATGGGCAATGATAAATGATACAGGCAGAGGTAATAATGCATATCAAACTTAAAAGAGTGAAATAGGGCATAACTGTGCAAAAAAAAAAAGCAACTGTTAAGCTCATCAGATCCTAGAGTGAGAGAGAAAACTAAGGAACCACACTGGATAAGAAAGTTTTAGACGTGATTGATCAGAGTTATACAAAGACCAGATTGCTAGTGATGCTTTAGTCTGAGTTCTTTCAGGATCATCACGGGAGCTGAAATACATAGAGTTCATCTGGGGAATGGTTTTACTATCAGAAGAGTTGTGTAGAAGTTTCTTCTAAGATAGACCCTTCCATCTTAGAGAGAGCATGTTAAGACATAGGATGTTCTGAAAGCAGGTAAGACATTTCATCCTGCAGGGAAGTTTCTTAGGCTCAGGAAATGTACAACTCAAAGACTCCATGGAGTCCCAGGAACTTACGACACACCAGGCTTCCCCTCCTTAGGAATAGACAGTAAAGAGGACTAAGGAGACATGCTCAGACAAGATAAGCCTAGAAGAGGCTCAGAAAAAATGGGATACCCCAAAACGATACTCTCCAACCCGTTAAGTTGCCTATACGTTGTTCAGTATGCTCCAGGTTCCAGCTTCCATGAAATATCCCTCTTGCCAGGGTAGACCGGTGATGCAGCTGTCAGAGTCATTTCTGCTCTGGTAAGTAATTCCTGACCCATATTCCTGTAACCCCAATAAAATTTATTGATTCACCAAGATGAATCTTGGTTGTATCTTTACTTTCATCTACTATCAGTTCCCTATTCAGGGTGAGTAGACATTTGCTTACATCTCTGCAAGGATAGTGTCATACAATAAACACAATAATTGCCAGGAGTAGAATATATATATATATATTCTACTAAAGTGTGTAGTTTTCCCCAGGGAAAGTCACTGAGGAGGTAAAATGGGAAGCTGAGGGTACTTATTCATTCTCCACCATGAGCCAGTGGTCAAGAACTTCCCTGAGGGTTTATGTAGCACATCTGCCTATCCTACCAGTAGGCACTGTGGGTTCTTGCCAACAGGAAAGACTCTGAGAAAAAGCAAGATGGATTGCCAAAAGTCAGAACAGCATATCTTATATTGGCAAGAAATGTTGGCATAGATTTGTTGAGATCGGCCACAGCTGGAATGTGGCTGAAAACTATTCCAAGGGTGATACACAAACATAGAGAATTTTAGAGAAAGGATTATCTTGAATGAATATCAATTGGAACAAAGGCTACTGGGGAAAGCCAGGACTCACCAGGACCAAACGACAGGCGAGAGTTATACCCCATTTGAGAAATATCATGGTGATATTGGGCAGTATTCCACACAAGCTGAATACTTTAAATTCTCCACACACATGAATCTTTTCTTAGTCCCCCTATAGGGAAGAGTTCAGATATTAGGGTGGTGTGTGTTCAGCTTCCCAAGTTTTTGTTAGTGATCCCTGTCTAACCTCAGGACTCTGTTTCTACCATGTACAGCATTTATTGGCTGTCAGAGTTCACCATACTGACCTCTCGGGACTCTGAACAACAAATTAAAGCTATTGCTGTGATACATAGTACCTAACAGGTGCTTACCAAACACTTAAGCAAAAAGGGAGAAACCCCAATCAAACAACAGCATATCAGTAGCTTCCAACATGCTACAGCAGGCATGGGCAAACTTCACTTAGCATACTTTTGTATAAAACAAAAAAACACACAAAAAAAGCAGTTATAAAGAAGCACAATCTCATGCTCATTATTTCATATTCTGTATATGTCTACTTTTATAATGCAGAGATAAATAGTGATTTCTGAAATTGTACAGCCCACAAAATCTAAAACAAAGTATGATTGTGTTAGGAAAAATAACTGATCCCTGCCATGTAAGATAATGCAGATATTTTTCAGGCATATGCCTGTTTCCATCTCTGTATATCCTGGCAGTGTCAGGAAGTCATCAACATTCCTGCGTTCATGTACCCCGGAAGTCGGGGATGCCACAGCTCTCATCACTCTGCTATACATACCGCCATTAGTATATCAGACAAAACAAAATAAATACATGATCATTTCTGGGCCCTACTCCTCTAGACTGGGAACTATGAAAGAATAAGGATGATCTGTTCCCTTAACAAATCTTCTGCAAGAGTCCAGTTTATGTCCTGAGTAGTTCAGGAAGCTATAGATAGGATGATCTCTGAGACAACGGCATGTGTGACTAAGGCCATACTTGGTACACTTTCATCTTTCTATGTACAATGCTATTAAAAATGAAGTAAAATAATGACTGTGCTCACTACTCTCTTCTCCTTCAACAGGAAGATGGGCAGGCAGGAAAAGAAGGCTAAATGCACAGATTCAGGGGAGATGCATTGCTCAGTAGTAGCTGATTATATCAGCATGAATGAAGCATTGGGTTTTGTACTAGACCAAGAAAAATAAATAAATAAGGAAGTAAATTTGGGAAACAGACTGCCCAGCTTTAAGTCTGGTTTTCCCAGTGATGCTCTGATTTTGAACAAATTTCTTCTTTTTTTTATTATTGTAAACTTGCCTTTATTTTTTTAATATTTCTAAGTTTTTTTAAAAAATTATTTATTTATTTATTTATTAAAGATTTCTGCCTTCTCCCTGCCACTGCCTCCCATTTCCCTCCCCCTCCCCCAATCAAGTCCCCCCTCCCTCATCAGCCTGAAGAGCAATCAGGGTTCCCTGCCCTGTGGGAAGTCCAAGGACCACTCACCTCCATCCAGGTCTAGTAAGGTGAGCATCCAAACTGCCTAGGCTCCCACAAAGCCAGTACATACAATAGGATCAAAACCCAGTGCCATTGTTCTTGAGTTCTCAGTAGTTCTCACTGTCCACTATTGAACAAAATTCTATACCTTTGTGTGACTCAGCACAATGGCCTGGGATTGGTGATGAGCATGTCCACTAGGATCACACTGGCCTGGGGTTGCTGATCAGTGTGTCTACTAGGATCACACTGGCCTGGGATTAGTGATGAACATGTCCTCTAGGATCCCACTGGCCTGGGGATTGGTGATGAGCATGTCCACTATCATCACACTGGCCTGGGGATGGGTGATGAGTGTGTCCACTAGGATCACATTGGCCTGGGGATGGGTGATCAGCATGTCCACTAGGATCACACTGGCCTGGGGATTGGTGATGAGCATGTCCACTAGGATCACACTGGCCTGGGGATGGGTAACAGCATGTCCACTGGGATCACACTGGCCTGGGACTGGTGATGAGCATGTCCTCTAGGGGAAAGTGCTGTGTAGATTAAGTGAACTACTAATGTGTCGTGCTTAGACTAGTGGCCAGCCTGTAAAAACATTTTGTAGGTGCTGGCTTCCTTTGCTTTCATTGTTATTGTTGACACTATGACTATGTACTAAAAGTTTCTGACAGTTTTAGGGAGTTGCTGTGCAAATGGACACAATGCTACCTGCTTGGGTGTGAGGAATCCGATTAGAGGCACCAGTCACCAAGACTGACTCTCCAGATGTTAATAATGCTAACAATATCCCCCATATGTGCATGACAAGTCATCACCAACCATCTCTAAGGAGCAAACATCTGGGAGCTTTGCATGCCTCCATCTCGGCCTCTGTTGCCCTTGCTGCTCACAGCCTTCTCCCACTAGGGCACCGTGCCAGTGCTAAGGTTGCAGCGAGAATAATAACATTCTTGTGTTCTCCTTCTAGGGTGGAAATTCCTTCTCTCGGCAGTTTCCATCATGTCAGAGTTGTACTGAGAGTCCATTAAAGCTTCTTATGGAAAAGGAGGAAGGTGTGGGGGGAAGGGAGGGCATGGGAATCCCTTTACTGGGGTTTTTACTGCACGCAGACGAAATCTTTCCATCCAGTCACCGAAGTGCTTATTGGGTCATGACTACTGCTAGAAGGTGATTTTTCAAAATTAGACCAACAGCAGAAGAATGCCTCTTTGAGGCAGAGCACACATCTACTGTGACTTTTTCCAGGCTTTTTTTCCCCCTATTTGCTTCCCAAACAGAGCAGTGCCTGGCTTAGTTCTCAAAGCAGTTCTGCATGTAAGGCTGAATCTGCTTTGTAGGGAGTCCCTGAGGTAAGTCAATTCGGTTCAACACACACTGATATAGCACTAACTTTCTGCCAGGCGCCATGCTGTCAGTGAAGACCTGGAGGTGACAGGAGCATCAAACTATCTGTCACTGGAGACTGTACAGACTTTGGAGACAAGTCTACAAATCTTAGAGCTTTCCAGCCAAATCCCATGTTTGGTGTAACATGGGAGCAATTCTGGGCACTTGAGGATCTCAG